TACTTTGGATGAGTACTCACGGTTGCTTTGCTCCCTCTTTTCCCCCTTTCTATACTCGATTGCTGTGACCAGACGTTGGAGCCCAGGAGCCAGACGCCACCGCCGACGACGACTACTACTACTCAGGAGGTGCCTACTACTACGTGCAGCCTGCTGACGACGACCAGGAGTAGTTTAGGAGGATCCTAGGCAGGAGGCATGCGCCTCTTTTGATCTGTATCCTAGTTTGTGCTAGCCTTCTTAAGGCAAACTTGTTTAACTTATGTCTGTACTCAGATATTGTTGTTTCCGCTGACTTGTCTATGATCGAGCTCATGTATTCGAGCCCTCAAGGCCCCTGGCTTGTAATATGATGCTTGTATGACTTATTTTTATTTTTAGAGTTGTGTTGTGATATCTTCCCGTGAGTCCCTGATCTTGATCGTACACGTTTGCGTGTATGATTAGTGTACGATTGAATCGGGGGCATCATAGTTGGTCACATGTTGATGTGAACTATGGGTGTTAATCATCTGGTGATGTGAACTATTGGTATTAAATCACATGGCGATATGAACTAGATTATTGACTCTAGTGCAAGTGGGAGACTGAAGGAAATATGCCCTAGAGGCAATAATAAAGTTATTATTTATTTCCTTATATCATGATAAATGTTTATTATTCATGCTAGAATTGTATTAACCGAAAACATAATACATGTGTGAATACATAGACAAACAGAGTGTCACTAGTATGCCTCTACTTGACTAGCTTGTTGATCAAAGATGGTTATGTTTCCTAACCATAGACATGAGTTGTCATTTGATTAACGAGATCACATCATTAGGAGAATGATGTGATTGACTTGACCCATTCCGTTAGCATAGCACTTGATCGTTTAGTTTGTTGCTATTGCTTTCTTCATGACTTATACATGTTCCTATGACTATGAGATTATGCAACTATCGTTTACTAGAGGAACACTTTGTGTGCTACCAAACGTCACAACGTAACTGGGTGATTATAAAGGTGCTCTACAGGTGTCTCCAAAGGTACTTGTTTGGTTGGCGTATTTCAAGATTAGGATTTGTCACTCCAATTGTCGGAGAGGTATCTCTGGGCCCACTCGGTAATGCACATCACTATAAGCCTTGCAAGCATTGCAACTAATGAGTTAGTTGTGGGATGATGTATTACGGAACGAGTAAAGAGACTTGCCGGTAACGAGATTGAACTAGGTATTGAGATACCGACGATCGAATCTCGGGCAACTAACATACCGATGACAAAGGGAACAACGTATGTTGTTATGCGGTCTGACCGATAAAGATCTTCATAGAATATGTAGGAGCCAATATGAGCATCCAGGTTCCGCTATTGGTTATTGACCGGAGACGTGTCTCGGTCATGTCTACATAGTTCTCGAATCCGTAGGGTCCGCACGCTTAACGCTACGATGACGGTTATATTATGAGTTTATGTGTTTTGATGTACCGAAGGAGTTCGGAGTCCCGGATGAGATCGGGGACATGACGAGGAGTCTCAAAATGGTCGAGATGTAAAGATCGATATATTGGACGACTATATTCGGACATCGGAAAGGTTCCGAGTGATTCGGGTATTTTCGGGAGTACCGGGGAGTTACGGGAATTCGTATTGGGCCTTAATGGGCCATACGGGAAAGGAGAGAAAGGCCTCAAAGGGTGGCCGCACTCCTCCCCATGGGCTGGTCCGAATTGGAATAGGGAGGGGGCGCCCCCTTCCTTCCTTCTCCTTTTCCCTTTCCTTTCCTTCTCTCCTACTCCTACTACTTGGAAGAGATCCTAGTTCTACTAGGAAAGGGGGAATCCTACTCCCGGTGGGAGTAGGACTCCCCTAGGGCGCGCCATAGAGAGGGCCAGCCCCTTCCCTCCACCACTCCTTTATATACGTGGCCAGGGGGCACCCCATAGACACAACAATTGATCTCTTAGCTGTGTGCGGTGCCCCCTCCACCATAATCCACCTCGATCATATCGTAGCGGTGCTTAGGCGAAGCCCTGCGTCGGTAGAACATCATCATTGTCACCACGCCGTCGTGTTGACGGAACTCTCCCTCAACACTCGGCTGGATCGGAGTTCGAGGGACGTCATCGAATTGAACGTGTGCAGAACTCGGAGGTGCCGTGCGTTCGGTACTTGATCGGTCGGATCGTGAAGACGTACGACTACATCAACCGCGTTGTGCTAGCGCTTCCGCTTTCGGTCTACGAGGGTACGTGGACAACACTCTCCCCTCTCGTTGCTATGCATCACCATGATCTTGTGTGTGCATAGAGAATTTTTTTAAATTACTACGTTTTCCAACAATGCCTTCAGCAGAGCCTCTGAGCTGGAAGGCCAATTAAATCCCGAGCACGCAAAGCCTAATAAGTCGAAACAAACAACCCAAGAAAAACAGGGCGTAAAACATCCACTATACAAGTAAGATAAAAAAGAAATGTATAAAAATTGATAAGTTATAGATATGCCTAGTGGAGAAAAATCAGGGAAAGATGTGCCTTGTATGAGTTGCAGTACTGGGTGGATGATGAATCGGCAAATCTTACATTCTTAAGAAGTTGATCCCCACTACTATCAATTTTCTCAACATGCAGCTCGTCCACATCATCATTTAGCCACGTCAGCAATCTTGGTCATGTATGCATGCAATCTGTATGTAGATGTGAGACGCAATGCAACCTTCCACCCAGCGTAACCCAGCCATGCGACATGCAGCATTCCATCAGGTATTAATTGCCTCTTTAGACGGGTATTTAGTTGGGCGGAGGAACTGACTATTACCTCTCCCTCCGGCCTGTCTATCTTCTCCATAATCTAGCCGGGTATTTAGTTGGGCGGAGAAACTGACGATTACATCTTCCTCCTCTTTGTCTTCTTCATAATTGCCTTATATCAGCCTTGCCGGTACAATTTTCTGCTCATATTTTCTTCTGCACCTTCCTCAATGAATCATATTCTCCAATATAAAGCAAGCATGACTTGCCGAATCCACCCGCACCAATCAGTAGCGGTAGCGGTCGATAAGATCACAGGGCAGCCGCTCACTTGCCTGGTCACCAGGGGATATCCCGTCGATCACCCACCAGGTGATCTGCGCCTCTGTTAGATCCGAGGACGCCGACACAGTCCATCGCCTGATACTCAGCATTCGACTCCGCCGGGTCGCTCGCCACCATCCAACTTGGGGACGTTGTCCCTTGCCAGCCACCGCCGAGGCATCCTATTCTAGCATGTTGCTCGCTACTGTGTTAAGTTGATGGACGCCCGGGAGTCTGCGTTGTAGACTTGTAGTACGTCGCAGCGGGGCAGCACACTCAGTCTTCCACCTTCTTCTCATGTGCTCACCACCATCCACTGACATCTCGATCCCGACGCCTTCCGCGTGGTTGCCAAGCAACACGGTGCATCGCATCATGGTCAGTGATGAGGCGCCCGACGCCAAGGCTTCCAAATCCAGCGCAACCCTCGCTGCCGTGTTGATGGGCGCCGAGGAGTCCGTGTTGTACGTCGCAGTAGAGGCCGGAGCGCGTGGAGTAGTCTGCCTCTACCCAAACATCGTCCGCGTGAACGCCAAGAAAGGGCACATAGGTGAGCTCCTCTTTTCAACGCATTATTCCCACTGTATTCCTTATTCTACTTGGCCCCGCTGCATTTTCCTCAGTTAGATTCATCAGTTTGAAAATACAAGGATAACATTTGATTAGTTCGGTGTTTTGGGCTTTACAGTTTGATTGGTTGGACTACACTTATGCCAGGATATGTGGATTCACAAGAGATGTGGCTGTCCAATTATTCAATGGCAACAATGGTCGATTTTGGTACTAATCAAAAGGAAATTAAAAAACATTGTGCATATGATGTGATTAAGACCCCTAATATTCTCTGGATTTTTTTGTAGTTTGCATAACTAATAAATTACAACAATGCAATGGGTCACTTTTCTGAATTATTCTTTTTTACAAAGTGTACATTATTCATTTAGTACTTCATGAAAGTCAAGGCATTCAGGATGACAGGAGCTATTCCAACTCTTAGGCGTTTCAATTTGTTCAAATCATTATGCCAGTGTTGTGTGTTATAAAACAAAAATTCATTGAATTTAAATAAAATTCATCATAAAAGTAATTCCAATCATTATCATCTTCACGACAACAAAATTCCGCAGCAAAATTCATCATAAAAGTAATTCCAATCATTATCATCTTCACGACAACAAAATTCCGCAGCAGCGCGTGGGGTGTCATCTAGTTGTCTTCAGTGATCCCGCCCACCAACGGAAATACGCCGATGGCTGTCAAAAAAACGAAGAAGCAGAGGGGTAATAAGAGAAAATAAAAGAGAGATGGGGAGGAAAACGGAGCGACCGACGGGCGGACAGAGAGGAGAGGACTGGTGACTGGAGAGCGTGGAGAGGCAAACCCCCTCCGGGACCCCGACGAACGCCGACGAACGCCATTGTGAGGTACTCTCGGTCCGCCCCCAAAATCCAGGTCTCTCTCTTCCTCCACTTCCTCATGGGAGCTGCAAATCCCGTCTCTTTGCCGCGGATCGCGCGCTTGCCATCCTACTGTTCTTCACCTTTTCTTCTGTAGTCGAGGGTTTTTCAGACGTCCAGTTCTTCCTTTTCACGAAACAGGGGTTTCAGTGTTTTGCGCTGCAAGTTCTTGGCTTCCTTTCGTGATCGATCGAGGGGCAAAGCGCGTATCCGTAGCTTTTAATCGACCTGCTCGTGGAGTGTGATTTTCACTTCCAGTTCTCTCCTTTATTTATTTCGCGGGTAATGATTTTTCTACGGCGTGGTAGTAATTATTTTGGACCCAGATTGGCTCTACCTCTGAAGATTCTGATAATTACCTTCTTTGTCTACCGTGGTTCTTAGTACTAGTATTTTATATGCTGATGATCTGCTACCTTTCCCTGAGATATGGTATGAATTAATCTCATTTGCAGAGGAGAGAAGAAGAGGAAGGAGCAGATCCATGGGCAACTGCAGGAGTTCATGTATGTATGCCTGGTCAACCGTGATGTTTGGATTGTGTCTTTTATAAACCAAAATTTGGATGCAATTTGCAGCCCTAATTCCTTGGCAAAAGTCAAGGTATAAGAACATGAGATCCTAGCTCTGAATTGAGGAAGCACTTGCCCTCACCATCATGTTGATATATTAGTAAGATGGCTATTTTTTGTAGAATTTAGTATTCTTTAAAAGTATTCTATATAAAAAATATTCTGTACAAAAATGAAAGGATAATAATAAAATTCCAAAAAAGGAGAACTAATTAAAAATATTTGATTTTTACTTTCCCATCCTCATGGCCTTCTATCTTTCTAATCTAATTTGAGGTAGTTGATCTTGATGTCTTATTGATTAGAAGCAATAAAAAGTATCTTCTGCCTTGTTCTACCCTTGATTGGTGACATGAATAACTATTCTGATTGACCAGGGATCACTTATCACAAATAATTGCATTCAAGAGTTTGATTCATATAATCGGAACATAAATACTCCCTCCGTCCCACAATATAAGATGTTTTTGCAAACTTATATTATGGGACAGAGGGAGTAAACTTATATGTTGTTGGCCATTTGCGGTGGTCGATATTTTATCCTGCTTATTTGGAACTGCAACATACACATGAATATTGCATGTTCTCTCTTTCTTTGTTGTGTAACTTTGAGTTACTGCACTTGTGCAAATATCAGCCCGTGCACTCTTAGGGAAGACCCATGTTGTTCCGGATTCAGAATGGGGGATTCAGGACTTCGGAAAGACCCATGTTCCAGTTTTTGAATGGAGGATTCAGGACTTCTCGTCACTGCTTAAGACTGGAGCTAAGAGCACAATATCTGGTGCTTTTCACTGCTCTGGGTATAACTGGTATGCACCATAATTGTAAAAGGAACCTGCAAAATTCATGTATTAGATGTAAATACCATCTGGTTTGTTTTGTAGAAAAACTAATTATATGTTATCCATATACACATTAATTTAGTATGCCATCTACTCACCAATGATGTTTTGATTGATGTAATCAAATTAGCAATCACAATCTTATAAACAATCAGTCAGATGCTAAAGCTTGATACGGTGCATGAAGTCAAGAAATTAGACTTCACTCCTACTTCAGTTGTGAAATCTAGACTGAGTTTGGTTTCCTCCCATAATTTCATTTACCAGGTTCCTACAAGTGATTCCAATGCATAAAGAAGCTGGTGCTGGAACTCCATATGTTGCTCTTCGTCTTGTGCCATCCCAATTGAGCTTGGTGCCAGGTCACACGGTTCACGCGATGTTTGAGTTGTCAATATACAACCATACAAAAGGAATGTACTGTGGATGCAAAGGTAGTCTCATGGATGTGTTTTTTCAAGCACACCCATCCTATTGCAGCTAGGAATCCATACTTTGTGCATCATAAGTTTGAGATATAAATACCATGATTCCATCATTACAAGTCAATATCTGTAATTTGGTATACAATCAAATATTACTTTTCCCATGAAGAAGTTGCTTTGTATTTTCTTTGCTGTCGAGTTTGTCTGATTCGGACTACATACACATGTTCTCATTAAATTTGATAATCATTATTTGTATGTAATTCACTATCTTGATATCTTCTTGCTTTCTGAACTGGGGTGAAGTTTGGTTATTTATATTTATACACTTATTTTAATGTGGTTTGGTCATATATTATTTGGTATATTTGCACTTTACGTACAAGTTCTTTGTTCTCTAATCTTTCAACCTTTACCTAAAAGCAGCTACCTACAACTTTGATTTCAAGAATACCTACTCGAAGGAGCATTGCTTGATTCCTCTTCAGGAGCTACTGAAATCATCTGCTTTTCTAGTGGATGATAGCTGTGTCTTTGCTGTGGAGATATTGAAGATTGATGTCTCTTCTCCTGAAAAGAAGGCTGTTGTGATTCAGAAGAAGGCTACCATAGTTCAGAACCTCTTTGTCCAGAATAAGGGATTCGTCAAAGGAACATACACTTGGACCATGAACAATTTCCCTGAATTTGATTTGAAGCACTTCGTCCGTTCTCCTACATTTGAAGTTGGCGGACAAAAATGGTATACATCTGTTACAGTTAAACGGTTACATCACAAATGATTTATACAAATAGTTTGCATGTGTTATCCAACATTTAGCTTATATGTATCCTTTAACCATACCTAGTCAGCTTACTAGCTTAATAGTCGACAGAAACTTCTTGCTGAATGTTTTATGCCAACGGACATTAGTGATAGCCAGATTTTTGTGCAAGGCAAGGTCCTGCAGATATTCCAGGTTCTCTAAGCATGCAACCAAAGAACTGTACTTCTAGTATTTACAGATATGCGGTAGCACATTCCAATTTCAATAGAAAAGTGGTTTTGTAATAATGGTGTACCGAAAATTTAGGAACAAATTTGAAACATTATAGTACTAAAATCTGTGTTAGCCTATAAAATTTCATGGTCATATGCTATGCTGTTTAGGATTATTTTTTTCCAGAAATTTTATCGTCATGTATATATTTGGTACCACTGGTTCTTGTATATGTCACATACCAGCAATTATTTTCTCAAATTCTTTTGGGTAACATTGTATTATCTTCTATTGTAGTCATGGTTTTCTCAGATAATTGTAATGCCACAAAGTTGTGTCCAAAGTTAATGGCCGGCTAGACCCATGCTCAGCTACAACTTTCGATTTCAATATTAACCACATTCTTGAAATACATTTTCCAGGGTACCAATTTGAAGTGTCACTTCCCATTTTTGTCAACAGGTACATCGGCATGTATCCACGTGGTGACAAGTACAGCACTGATTGCCTCAGCTTGTACTTACACCTGGATGCCTCGGATGAGCACCAACTCGAGTCCAAGAAGGTGGCTGTAATGACTCTGTCCATCCTGGACCAAACGAATGGAAAACACTTCACTAGAACTTCAGGTTCAACTCTCCTTAGCAAGTATCAGTGCTACTGATATGTGCGATTCAAGCAGCTAGTGTCTGTAACCTGATCATGATTGCAGTTGATCTTACTTTTGTGGTGATCGCAGGTCTCTGGGTATGTGGACAAGGATGGGGATGGCCTAACTTCCTTGGACTCAAGAAACTCAAGGACCCGTCGGGAGGCTATGTTGTAGGATCGAGCTGCGTTGTGAAGGCAGATCTCACTATCGTTGGTTCATCCAATGATGGCTAGATCTTTACCTCATAGCCTGATGGAGAGATAACGCCCTTTCATCCTACTAAGTAGACTTATATATGAGATAATGATGTGGTAGCAGTACTAAAAACTTGTGGGATGATTAGTAGTAATGAGCCGGATTTGAGAAGTGAGATGATTCACGCATATATTTCTAGGTATATGTTTCGATCGGAAATATGTTACTGCTAGTACTTCTGTATGCATGGATGATGCAACAATGTTAGTCAGCTTGTCTCGCTAAATGGATGGTGTATTCAGCTGAACCATGTTATCACTCACTCTATGCATCATGTCCCCAGTTGATGAATCAGGGTTACACGTAGAGTAAAATGCACTACAAGTACTTGAACTTGCGCCGCGAGCTCAGTTTGGTCACCGTACTTCAAAATACGGTCATTACGGTCACTTTGTACGATTGGATGTGATTATACGGTCACTGTTCACTGTACTGAGCCGGTATGCCGCCGTTTTGACCAGTCCACGGGCGCCACATAGGCGTGTGGGGGATTACTTATTTGAACAAGTCCACGGGCGCCACATAGGCGTGTGGGGGATTACTTATTTGAACAACACATTTAGGGGGGGTTATGTGTAAAAATGCAGTCAGCTCACAATCCCTAGCTCAGTTCCCCTGTTATCCAAAATCCCTAGTTTTGTTCCCCTCGCAGCGCTCGTCGCCGCCGCCGCCCACCGCTCGCCGTCGCCATCGCCCAGCGCTTGCCGCCGCCCACCGCTCGCCGTCACCGTCGACCACCGCTCGCCGCCGCCCATTGCCTTCGTCCTCGTCGCCCGCCATGTCCAGCAGCAGTTCTGCCCGATCTGGACGTCGCGGGAGGACAGTGGTGGTGCCGCTCATCTCATGCCCTCGCTGCGGCTGCCTAGTGAGGTTCTACGTGTCCAACACGGAGGAGCATGACGGATGGGTGTTCTACAGATGTGTGAAGGTAAGCATCCCTTGACCTGGTTGACTTGATTTCACTTGTTCAAATTTTCTGATTTTTCTTGATTTTGAGTTTGTAGCAAGGATGCGTTTTCTGGCATTGGGAGAGGGAATACGTGGCCTACCTTGTAGATCATCGTTTTCTTGCTGGGCGTGAAGTTGTTGATGCAATTGGAGCAACAGAAGATAGGAGGGAACATCTTGAGAGAGAAAGAGAAGAAAGAAGAAGGGTTGCAGAGAGAAATGCAAGTCAGAGGATAGGTATGCAGATGTAGGAACAGCCTGGAGCTAGCATGAACATCACCAGGGCAGAAGCTCGTGCACTTCTTAATTTAGGTGTGCAGATGATGTTACTGTTGAAACTGCTACTTGGTGGTGTATTGGTGCTTGTTGTGCTATGTGTCATGCTGCTGATGAAGAAATGAAGCTGGTAGCTCTGATGAAGAAGTGTGGTAGCTTCAAGTAGACCTAGTGGTAGTAGTAGTTGATGAAGAAGTGAAATGTCAGTATGATGGTTGTAGCAGTTGATGTATGAACTGGTAGCTCTGATGTATGAACCTTTTGTACGATGGTTTGTCTCTGAAGTTCAATAAATTGTTGATGGAATGACTCTATTGTATGAACTAAAATCACTGTCAATTTTAGTATTATGATCCAACTGCATATCAACACAAAATGATCATGTAAACTGTTGCTGAACAAAATAATCCAAGTAAATGCAAGCACAAGTATGATAGCAAACATGATCATTGGTTCCTGACATGTATATATAACAAATAGCTAACACATAAGTACAAAAGATCATTGGTTTTTAAGATGGCCAAAAGATCATAGGTTCCTGACATAACTTAACTTCAAAGAAAGCAAAATGACTAGTTTCTGAAGATGGCCAAAAGGACTAGTTCTTGAAGATAGCCAACATGATTCATATTTTACATAAGATGGCCAAAAGGACTAGTTGTTTAACATTCTCTAGCACTAGTCCCTGAAGATGTCAAACATGCTTCCATTCTTCTCAAGCCCTGAGCTATGGTGCTCCTTTTGAACTGTTCTGTTTCCCAGTTTTTTCTTTGCAGCAGCAACTGCTTTATCTGCCATCTTCTTTGCAGCAGCTGCTTGCCTGGCTTGTTCCTTTTTTGCATTAGCTGCTTGTCTCTCTGCCATCTTCTTGGCAGCAGCAGCCTCTTTCTGGGCTAACTTCTCAGCAGCTAGTTTCTCCTTTTTCTCTGCAGCAATTTGCCTGTGTGTCTCTTGGATAATTTGCCTTGTCTCTGCAGCTGCCTGCTTTAGGATGGCCTGAACTTCTCTTTTTTGAGCAGCTGCCTCCTTCTTCCTTGTTGCATCTTGTGCTTTCTTCTCTGCTACCTCATGCCTCTTCCTGGCAGCTTCTTTTGCTTTCTTCATTTCTGCTTCCCTTCTAGCTGCTAGAACAGCTTGCTTCTTGTCCTCCAGCTCCTTCTCTCTTTGTGTCTTCATGGCCAACAGCTTCTTAGCAAGATCACCATGTGTAACTGTGCTGCTGCTTGGCTGGGAGTGGTTGAGCATAGACTGTGCATTGACTAAGAATGCAGACTCTGGTACTAGTGTTTGTTGTATGATTCTTGGCAAAGACCTCTGCACATGTCATGAAAAAGTTTTATTACTTAAGATTCTTGGCAAAGGCCTCTGCACATGTCAAGAATATAGTAGTACCTGCTCAAGAATAGAGTCTATCATAAGATCATCCACTGGTGGGGCCCTTTGTGTTGATGCTTCCTCCTGGTTCTAATCAGTAGGGAAGTGATCAGTACTATTTGATAATAACAAATGTTGTTAGCAAAACAAGAGATAAAGTTCATAATGTACCTGGGTTCTCACTGGTCCCTCTTCTTGCACAGACTCTTGTGTTGTTTGTGCTGCTTGTGGAACATTCTCTTGTGCTGCTTGTGCTTCAACTTGTGCATTTGGAGGTGGCAGGCCAGCCTTAAGATATTTACAACCTTTCCTGTTGTGGTCTGGCTCACCACAGTAGGAGCAATGCATTATGACACCATGTCTGGACATTCTCTTCCCTCCATTACTGCATATGATCTCTTCTGCTGATTTCCTTCTACTCTTGCAAGGTCTTCCCACATGTTTTGTGTACTCTGGTGGCAATATTGGGGGGGCATTCATCTTCTCCCACTCTGTGATATCTTTGCAAGGATAAATTATGTTGTTGTAGGCCTTCTTGAACATTGCCATTGAGTAGAAACTATCCACCAATGTTATGGGGTCAACTCTCTCATTTCTGCAGCATGCAATTACATGTATACATGTGACTCCATTTTTTTTGCCATCTCATGCATCTGCAAGACTTGGTGTGTATGTCCACAATGTAGTCTGTTCCTCTATCACCTATTTGAAATACTCCATCTCCTGACTCATATACATAACAAGTGTTTGCCAGATCTTTGAGCTTCTCAACCATCTTCTTTATCTTAGGGCATGTAACTCCTTGCATCTTCTCACCCTCAAGTTGTTTGGTGTAATGCCTACTAGTCCACTGTTGTTTGATCCTCTCAAACATTGATAGGATTGGCAATTCTCTTGCTTCAAGGATGTACCTGCAAGCAGTACACAATGGGAACCATAGGTGAAACAGGACAAACTAGGAAGGGAATCATTAGTATCTGAAGGTAAAAAGTAGAATGTTTCTTACTTGTTGAAGACCTCACATAGGTTGTTCAGCAAAATATCACACTTTGGTATGTCACTCTGGAATGCTCTGACCCAAGTCTCTGGTTCTAATTCTTTCAACCACTTGTATGCATCCTCATTGAGTTCCTTCATCTCATTCATGTACCGCTCATATTTGATTGTTGTTGTGCTTCTTGCAATCTTCCACAGCTGGTTCTTTAGTGCATCACCTTTGTACAGCCGCTGGAAACTCTTCCTGAAGGAAATATGCCCTAGAGGCAATAATAAAGTTATTATTTATTTCCTTATATCATGATAAATGTTTATTATTCATGCTAGAATTGTATTAACCGGAAACAAAATACATGTGTGAATACATAGACAAACAGAGTGTCACTAGTATGCCTCTACTGGACTAGCTCGTTAATCAAAGATGGTTATGTTTCCTAACCATGGACAAAGAGTTGTTATTTGATTAACGAGATCACATCATTAGGTGAATGATCTGATTGACATGACCCATTCCATTAGCTTAGCACCCGAACGTTTAGTATGTTGCTATTGCTTTCTTCATGACTTATACATGTTCCTATGACTATGAGATTATGCAACTCCCGTTTGCCAGAGGAACACTTTGTGTGCTACCAAACGTCACAACGTAAATGGGTGATTATAAAGGTGCTCTACAGGTGTCTCCAAAGGTACATGTTGGGTTGGCCTATTTTGAGATTAGGATTTGTCACTCCGATTGTCGGAGAGGTATCTCTGGGCCCTCTCGGTAATGCACATCACATAAGCCTTGCAAGCATTGCAACTAATGAGTTAGTTGTGAGATGATGTATTACGAAACGAGTAAAGAGACTTGCCGGTAACGAGATTGAACTAGGTACTGAGATACCGACGATCGAATCTCGGGCAAGTAACATACCGATGACAAAGGGAACAACGTATGTTGTTATGCGGTCTGACCGATAAAAGATCTTCATAGAATATGTAGGAGCCAATATGAGCATCCAGGTTCCGCTATTGGTTATTGACCGGAGACATGTCTCGGTCATGTCTACATTGTTCTCGAACCCGTAGGGTCCGCACGCTTAAGGTTTTGATGACAGCTATATTATGAGTTTATGCATTTTGATGTACCAAAGTTTGTTTGGAGTCCCAGATGTGATCACGGACATGACGAGGAGTCTCAAAATGGTCGAGACATAAAGATTGATATATTGGAAGCCTATATTTGGATATCGGAAGTGTTCCGGGTGAAATCGGGATTTTACCGGATTACCGAGAGGTTACCGGAACCCCCCGGGAGGTATATGGGCCTTAGTGGGCTTTAGTGGAAGAGAGGAGAGGTGGCCAGGGCTGGGCCGCGCGCCCCTCCCACCCCTAGTCCGAA